GTGACAGACATAGGACACACAACTCAACCCACAAGACCCATGCCCATGTGCACATGTCATAGCCTAACAACCGGTGGAGGATGTGGGCAGATGCAGGACTCATAATTCAACCCAATGCCAGGAGACTCCGAGGGTCTCCGGGATTCAAGGCCTACTTAACTAGCTACTCAGCTGCCTCTCACAGCCCTGCATGCTTTCAGTGTCCCAGTTACATAAGAACTAGTTTTCTCTCTCTGCTTCTCTTACCTCCAACCTATCCTTACCTTCACACAATGAAGTAATTCATTACATCGAGGAGTTCACCTGTTTTTGAAGATTCATTTACAAGGGAAATGTTTACAATATAAGACACAATAAGGAATTTCAGTGCTGGGATAAAAACTATTGTTTAGAGGTAGGTATTATTTCACCAATATTATTTTCTTTTTTCTGTTTTACATATGAATGTTAAATAACATTTGCATATACTAATAGTCTATAACAATGGTGTCTTGATATGTGTATACACTGTAATAATGATACTGTGTTAGAATTTTCTAGAGGAACAGAACTATTAAAATTAATTACAAAAATGGATTTCTTAAATTGGCTTACAGGATAGGGGCTGGTGATTCCACAGTGGTCATCAGTGCTGTCTTTGTCAGGGTTTCTACTGCTGTGATGAAAGACCATGATCAAGAGCAACTTTGGAGGAAAGAGTTTATTTCAGCTTTCAGCTCTATTGCATAATCCATCACATAAGGAAGTCACAGCAAGCACACAGACAAGGAGGGGAACTTGAGGCAGGGGCTGATGATGAGGCCACGAGCTAGTACTATCTATTATCTTGATCCTATGCTGTGTTCAGTCTGCTGTCTTATAGCACCCAGGACCACCAGCTCAGTGGGGATGGAGGGAATTACACACATTGATCTGGGTCCTTCCACATCAATAAAAAAAAAAAAAATGCACTACAGATCTGCCCACAGGCCAAACTAGTAGAGTCATTTACACAACTGAGGTTCCTATTTCCAAAATGACTCGGGCTTGTGTCAAGATGACACAAGCATCCTGAAGAAGCAGAGAACATGAGAACTGCTCAGTCTATGAACATGTGTGGCTCAGTAACCCAAACCTGGCACTGGAGGCCTAAAAGATTCCTGCAGAGCTCATGGCCTTCAGTCTATACCTGAAAGCTGAAGAAGCAAGAGCCTGGTATCATAAAGGCAGCCACAGAAGCAGCAGCAGAAACAGCAGCAACAACAACAGAAAAAAAAAAAAACAGTAAGAACAAAGGGATAAATATACTCACCACCAAGGAAGCAAAGGCAGACAAGTAAGTAGCATTGCTTTTTCCTTGGACCGCTTTCTATCTGGTCCTTCACAGAGAATGTGGCACAAACTTTGGATAATTCTATCTCCAGTCACTCCTTCCTGGAAATGCTCTCACAGATCGGTGCAAAGGCAAGTCTCTTGTCGATTCCAGATCCTGTGGACATTCAAGATTATACATCACAGAGGCCAAATACAGGAGCATAACCATCATGTGTGTTCTCTAAAGCTGCAGAATGTATCATGAAATGACTGAGATTTAGGAGGAGCAGGATATAAATTTCATATTAGCAGGTCCTTTACAATCCAAATAACCAAGATAAAACAGAAACATCATCAGCTCAGGCTGCTATAAACTGTACTTAAAATGAATGGTTTATGCGGCAGGGATCTTGATAGGGTACTATTCTAATCATGATTGATAATTAGATTGGATCATCTAATGTAGCCAATAGCTGTAATTCAAAATTTGTTTTGAGAAATACTAAACGAATAGTTCAAGTGTAGGCCAAGTAAAAACTTCTCTCCAATATTCTGATATAGCTTTTCTCAACTACAAGATTTATAAAAGTATTTTGAGTCATTATAGACTTAACAAATACAATGATGGTAATTTCATCAATTAACTAATTTTACCAACTTAGGAGACTGCTCTTAAACACAAAATTTAGGTTGTTGAATAAGAATGGGCATGGGGAATAAGGGAGGGGCAATGAAGTATCAACAGTCCTTTTTATAGGAAATAGATGTGAAAGACTGTTCTTTCAGTAGAATAACAAAGCCAACTGTTCTAAGTGACTTTCTGCATTAAAAAACAAAAAAAACTAAAACAAAAAACAAAAAACAAAACAAAACAAAACAAAAACTCCAAACCTCATTTAGGAATCTTGTAGAATAATCATTGAAATTAAAAAAAAAAAAGATTGAAGTAGTTCACTGGACGTCACAACAGCTTGCTATCCAACACACTTGCTATACAACAGTTACATCAGAGAAATTCTGTCTCCTTGAACCGTCCCTCAGGCCAGCCCTCCCTGCCTTGCTGCTTATCTTCTTTCTTATTAAGCACAGCTGAAGAGCATAAGGCATGTGTTGTCAGGAGAAGAATGAGCTGTATTCTTAGAGACTGTCAACCAGGAACAGCAAATGATGCTACTCTTCAGAAACATCTGTTCATGTAACAAAGCAGTCTTATTTATTCCCTTAAGAGTGCTTGTATCTTATATATTTTCTTCTTCTAGGCTCTATTTCAGCACTGTAACTTTACTAAGTTTCAGAATCATTTTCTATGATTATCTTATTTATTTTAATTTTCACATAAAGTAAATGAAATAACCATATTATACCTACTATTGTATTGTTTCTCTGTGTAGAACATTCTAAGTTATATGGACATGATATATAGTTATATAAGGAAAATGCACTAGGTACATTTTCAATAAATAAATGCAATATTAATCTCCAAGTTATACAACTATTGATATATTACTCTAAATAAATCTAAATGCAAGTACACACCAGCAATTCTGGCTGTGATCATTTGACTCAGTCTGCTGTCCCCCAGCTTTAATTTAGAACTTACATTTTTCTCAATTTTTTTTGAAGAATATTGATATACTCCTTGTTAGCCATAGGTGAATTTTCATTAATAAGGCAACCTTCAAGTCTTGAGAGATGGCTCAGCAGTTAAGAGGATCCAGGTTCTATTCCCAACACTATAAACAACTGCTCACAACCTACTGGCATTTGTCCCAGGGGATCCTATACTCTGTCTTCTGGTCTCTGAGGAGACCAGGCAAGCTCATGGTACACAGACATGCAAACTACCCACACTTTAAGTAATAAGTAAGGCAAAACAAAACAAAACAACACAAAAGAAAAACAAAAACAAAAAAACCAAAGTCTTCATGGTTTCGACTCATCTTTTTGTTGGACTGCTTTGTCTGTTTTCCTTCTCTGCCTCCCTTCTTCTGCTGTCTTTTGAAAACACACACACACGCATGTGTGCACACATACACACACACACACACACACAGAGAGAGAGAGAGAGAGAGAGAGAGAGAGAGAGAGAGAGAGAGAGAGAGAGAGAGATGCTGTACCAAACAGACAGACTGGCAATATAAACTAGGATCCTCTCTCATCAGTTGTATCTGCTTAATAGGACATTTAGAATTACTTTATTACCAAGACAGAAGCATTCAGAAGTTTAGTGGTGTCTAAAGCTGAGAGCACAGAGGCCTGTCTCCTGATTCACTAGGGCCAATGTTCTTTAGCAAACCATTAAAAGACAATGAAGCATTTGATTGTAAGATACTATTCAAGAGAGACAGGACAACTTGAATTCCCAAAACAGCAATACTATAAAAATACTATAGTTTTATAAATGGGACAATAGGAAGAACACTAATAAAAATTGTTCGGTACCTAATTTATAGCATGTAGGTGGTAACTGGTGTCACATTTTTGTTATACTTTTATTATGAGGTATGCAATTATTCCAGACTCTTAAAAAATTGTCATGTCTAAACCCCGGAGCAAATCATCTTTCCTAACAAACTATCATTCTGCACTACACTGTCTGGATATGCTAACAACATATTCTTGGTTCTGTAGTCAATAGAGAAGTCAGGTTGTCTCCAATGTTTACTGCCTACAATTTACATTTTAACAGCCTTTAAGTTCTGAAAACAAACTCACTTAAATTTTGAAACATCTTTGTTACTGATTTCATGAAATGACTGTTTAGAGCTTAGGTAAATTTATATTTTAGCTGGAAAAATGAAAGGACGATAACTGTTTGATTTTCTAGCTATTTTTTGAACCATGGTTCTCCTAGGTACTGCCTTTTCATTTCCTTGGTGTGGTAGTTTTGGAGATCACATGGTACCTAAAAATTAAACAGAACCTTGTCTGAAACATAGATTGTTACTAGCATGTATTTCCCAATGATTCTGACTTCAGTATCTAATAGTTTACTTTGCAATAATTCAGGGTCTTTGTAGGTTGAGCTTCTTAGGAAAAAGCAGTAATGTGTTTCACATAAAGGTATGTATCCAATTGCCTCCAGATAGTTTGAAAACTTCTGAATATTCTGTATCTCAAATATATGAAATAAAACTAGCTTATAAATTCTAAGGATTGCCCTGAGTTGTGACCCAGTATAACCTTATTAAGTTTTAACGCGTAAGATGTTTATAAATACAGATTTACCTCCAGTATTGGAGTGCTACCTGTTGGAGTCAGAGAGCTCAGGGCAGGTGCTCAGCTCAATAATGTTTTGTTTTTTAAACATGGGCATAGTTAAGCTGATAGGTTTCAAATGGTATAAATGCAATGTGCTCCATAGCAGTCTCAAAACTCATTTTGTTTCAAGACTGCCATATAAGTGGCAAACTAAGCACTGGCAGCTGTGCTGGGGAGCAGGGTGAGGCAGGAGTGTTCCCGCAGTGCCCAGGCCCGCAGGGAAGCAGTGGCAGCACCCAGCAGAGGACAAGGCTTTCCGGGCACGGACAACCGGCTGAGCAGCACAGCGTTTCCCAGGGGCGTCGTGTGAGCCGACCAGAGACCGCAGGCCCTGGGGGGCCGCTCAGCCGCGAGAGACAAGGACACGCCTCAACTCGGGCCAACTCCCGGCCTCCCCTGGCCTCCCGCCAGAACCGCCCGCCACCTTTCTTCCTCCGCCCGCGACTGAGCGCCCAGCCGGGCTCAAGTCCACCCGCGCCCCGCGCGCGGCCCGTCGGCCCACGGAGCTGGCGGCGCGACCAGACCGGACCGATGTGGCGCATGCGTGGTTGCGCCACCCGGCGCGGGAGCTGCGGCGGGGAAGGCGGTGGGAGCCGCGGAGACTCGGGCCGTCTGGGCCGGGCCCGTGAGGGCGGCGGTGGCGGCGTGGGTTGGCGAGGCCGCGCGGGCGGGGCCCGGCGACAGCTGGAAGAGCGCTTTGCCGACCTGGCGGCCAGCCACCTGGAGGCCCTGCGCGCGCGGGACGAGCGGGACCGGCAGAACGCGCGACTGCGCGAGGAGAACGCCCGCCTGAGGCTGGAGAACCGGCGGCTGAAGCGCGAGAACCGCAGCCTCTTCCGCCAGGCTCTGCGGCTGCCGGGTGACAGCGGCGAGCAGGAGGCCTCAGTCGAGACCCTCGGCCCGGACGAGCCTGCCATCAACCGCAGGGCGAGAAGCGAAGGGCGTCAGGACGAGCCGGGCAGCCCTAGGGCGCTGCGGGCCCGCCTAGAGAAGCTGGAGGTCATGTACCGCCGAGCGCTGCTGCAGCTGCACCTAGAGCAGCAGGGCGCGCGCCCGCCTGGAGCCATCGAGGGGCCATCGCTCCAAGAAACTGCCACCGGCCTCCGCGCCGGTGACCCGGACATTCCGGGGCCCTGGCTGTAGCCAAAGGGCGCGGAGGGAGGTGGGGCTTGCGCACGCCCCGCCTCTATAGTGCTCTGCGCTCCGCCCCTCTCAGCACGAAACTCCAGCCCCACCCAAGGGCACTTCCGGGCGCCAAATCCGTTGGCCTGATGGCTAAAGAGAAGCAAGAGTTTCCAAGTTCCCACTTGTGCAGAGCAACTGCCAAGAGTACCCTGCTGGTGTGTTGAGAGGGGCCTAGCAACTTTAAAGCAGCAAGACCTGGGTGCCAGGTCGCACCTCCTAAATTCTTGAAGTTTTCAAAGTGTTGTGAGGACCAGTTTTTTTGCCCCCCTCTGTCTTTGATTCTTTGAAGGATGAATAGTGTATTTGAGTTGGTAATGCCTGTTCATTCTCCTATCCACTAAACTCTCCGCTATTATACGACCCACCTTTTACGTGTGTTTTGTAAATTGCTATTATTTGGATATCCCATAAAGTACTACCTTTTTATAAAGAAGAAAATATTTATAATTGTCCGTCAGTCCAATCCACATATGTTTAATATATTCTGGTGTGTTGGCCTCCAGAGATTTTTTTTAGAATATCTTCTGACAGGTGATAATTTGAGTTGATAAATAAAAATGGTGCATTGAAATTAAATATTCCATGACTGTTATTTGATGTGTTTTGAAGCTTTACAGGTTCCTTTAAGCCTATACATGCATATATGTAACATATTTTAATACCTGTCTTTGTTTACCCTTTGTAATTTTGCATTGTCGACACAAGATCTTTATAAATCTCAAGATAGTTTGAAGATTGTTTTGTTATTACTACATTTTAAGTTATCATTAATGCTTATTCAGTTAGTTTATTATTATTTTGCCTGATTTCTATCAACCTTCAGGAAGTCATAAATTACTTGTATTTTATACAAAAACTCCCAGTGAATTATGCCTCAGTTATGTTCTTGCTATCAGAAAACAAAGAATAACAACACATTCTTGAAGCTTGAATATTTATTCATTTATTTATTTATTTATTTATTTATTTATTTATTTATTTATTTATTTGAGACTGGTTAATGCTTAGTAGCTCAGTGTCACCTGGAACTCTGCCCTCCACCTTCTGCCTACTGAGTGCTAAGATTATGAGCCTCTACCACCATCAGTATGTCTTGGTCTATGGTTCTTTTGCCTACTAAGCATTGAAGAAAATTCAGTGTACTTGATAAAACTTGTGGTAGCAAAATGATGTGCTATCTTTCCTTATCTACCATAGGGATCATTGACAACACTTCTATAACAAAGTCAGGCCAATCAGAGGAAAGCATAGTTACAATTTTACATGCCCCAGAAACCAAGGGGAAACTTTTGAAACCACCACTGAATGAATATGTTACCCTATAGAAGTGAGTGAATGATAGTTATAGACTAATAGTTATAGACTGAAAGGAAAACCTAGGAAGACCCATTTGTTCACTCTCTTCTTGACCTCTCTGTGTGGCATTCTTTTCGTTGGACACGGATCATGACTTCTTTCTAAAGGTTGGTCTTAGGTCAACTATCAAGTTAGACCAGAAATTTCCCTTATAACTATCTCAAAAGGAGATACATGCGATATTTAAAGTAGTGTTTATACATTTTATATAGCTGTCTTTTGAAGATTTCTGTAACTTGCCTTAGAGAAAGGAAAATTATGAATTGTGTGGCTTGCTTGTGGGAAGAGACAAATTGTGAAAGACCCATAGTAGGTCAAAAAGAGATTATTTGTAAGTGTTCAGGATAGGAATGATCAGCTTTGGAGTATTGTTTCTGAGCCCCTTGTAAATCGTGTGTTCTAAAGTGTTTAAATGCTTGGGATGGGGCATGTCAAATGAAGAGAGATTTAAAGAAATGAAATGCATACAGCAACTTCCAAAAAGCCTAAATATTTCAAATATTTATTACAAAACAAGGCCCAAGAAAAACTAGTGCTATTCCTTGTTAAAAGGAATTTGAGAACCCTTTCTATATTTCCTATAGGTAATTGATATTCCATGGTGAATATTGAAGTCTTCCTTTGTGGCTAAAGTATATCAGAATTTGCTGAAAAAGGAAGGTTTGTGAAAATTAATACTATCACTATTTCATGGTTTTACAGGGAAATAAAGGATTTATAGAAGGCATTAAAGCTTAAAAATAAGATGAAAAGATTATATGTCCTACAGGTATTTCACTGTAGCTTTAATTTAGATTTTATTTAGTTAATTTAGCTTTAATTTAATTATTTTCTCTAGGATTTATTTTTCTCATTAGTGAATGAACACAAGATCTACCTCAAAATGTTGTAAAACATTTATTGAGATATTAAAAACAAAGTGCCTGCTTCAAAGTAAGTGCTCAATCAGAGAGAATGGCATTTCTAGCATAAAAATAGCAAGTCCTTTTTATTTGGGAATACCATTGCTTTATTGTGTCTGATTTTACTGTAAATAAATAGCACATTTGTCAGATTTGCTGGTGGGAAAGTGTAATGAAATACAGATACAGATTTACTTTTGTGCACATTTCATAAAAGGTGTTTAAAATGCCCAAACCAATATATTCTATAAAATGGAAGAAGGATAAATCACATTTCTACTTAATGACTTCCCTGTTGACCATGACTAAAGTACATTGCAGAATGAAAGATGACTTGTTATAACAAAATAAGTAGTCATTTAAAGAGTGGATAATGTCAATATTACAAAAATTACCAGGGGCCTAGTATAATCTCGATGAAAGTAAAAATGCAGTATATGCTACTTTATTAAAGGAACATTTCATTGTCATAATTTCACATTAGTTATCCAATGAAAAGAGGTTTTATAGCTTATTGATATAAGCAAAACTTTATGCTGAGAATAATTAGCTTTTAATAGGATTTCTATACCTAGTGCTCTAAAAAAGTACATTTTATCTTTCTTCATATGAAATTGGGATGCTAAAGAAGCCAATATAAAATAAAATCTCACACAAGCTATCATACAAAAAGCTATTCTTGCCACACTTAAATATTTTTGAGACAGGTTTGCCAACTAATGTTATTACCATAATGATAATAGTACTAAGTGAATAAACTTATAAAGTATGATAATAATATTAGTTCCACGATCTTGGGTCCAACATCAAAAGAAAATTTGATACTTTTTTTACAAGGAAGAGATTTTTACTGAGAATTTGACACCAAATATTTGGAAAATTTTCATGATTCACAATGTACATTTCCATTTAGAGATGTGCCGATTAGTCAATAGGTTGGTCTTTCTAGCACAAGCATACTTTTTATATGTTTCTTTTGTTTTTGTGGAGGCAGGGCCTTGCTGTGTATTCTTTTCTTTTCCCAAAGGGGAGGGGGTTTATTCAGGGCAGAGGGCAAAGGTGGGGAGAGAAACAGGAGAAAATGGCTGAGAGAGAGGGGGAGGGGGAAAGGGAGGGGGGGGAAGGGAAGGGGGAAGGAGGGAGGGGACAGACAGAAGCTGTAGGCAAGAGAACAGAAAACAAGAGAGCAAGAGCCTGACTGTATATTCTTAGATAGTCTGGAACTTTCTGTATAGACCAGGATGACCTTGAATTCACAGAAATCTGACTACTTCTGCCTCTGTGTGCTGTGGTAAAGTCATGTACTATCATCTGTATAATATATTTGAATATATGATAGAGATTATGCAAATTTATTCATACAATAGAAATTAAAGATTAAGAGAAACAAATTGATTATAGCATCTTCAGAGTATAAGAATTAATCTTGCTCATTTTTCAAAAAGTAAAGCTTAAAGTAAGATTTGCATATCTCTTTTTTTTGTTTGTTTGTTTTATGTTTTTTGAGACAGGGTTTCTCTGTGTAGCCCTGGCTATCCTGGAACTCACTCTGTAGACCAGGCTGGCTTCCAACTCAGAAATCCGCCTGCCTCTGCCTTCCAAGTGCTGGGATTAAAGGTGTGCACCACCACTGCCAGGCAAGGTTTGCATATCTCAAGAATGAGAATTATTATGACATGATTAATTCATAGTAGATATGGCTCATTGAAAATTCAATGGTAGAACTTTTTAATTGGGATTATAGTTCCTATAATTTAGAGATTCTTTTTAACCCAAAGGTTTATGTATTGCAGCTCCATCCCCACTGCTGTGGTGGTATTAAGAGCTAGTGGATCCTTTAAGTTGTTGAGGCAAAATGAAAGAGATTGTTTCCTTGTAGGTATTCTCAGTTTAGGGCATGTTAACCAGGGTCCTTAACGTGTTTTTAAATTTTTTTCTACTTGCACAGAGTTCCTCAAAAGATAATCAATTGTAAAAGAAAGGATACACACACACACATACACACACACACAAGTATTCTCACACAGATTTTAATATACACTCAAACACGTAAATTTTCAGTGCATTCTACCCATTTCTACTTGTATAAAAGGGATTTTAAACAGAAGCATAAGAATGTTTGTGTGTGTCTGGGTGTCTGCATATGAGACATAAAGATGGTAACATAATTAACTCAGGAAAGAAAGGAGACTAAGGGCAGGGGTGGGCAGAGAGAATGGCAGGTACAAGACTGTCTGTAGACTATGCAGTGTATAATATGTTCTTATTTTATTACTGAAAAAAATAATGAAATATCTTTCAAAAATCTTTTAACAACAAAAGCAATACTTATTGAAATAAGAAAACCTATATAACCATTGTTAGTATAGAAAATGGAATACAAATATTCTATAGACTAACTCGACCTTTCATTCATACATATTCATTTCTTATAAACTTGCATGCACACGCGCCCGCGAACACACACATACACACACAGAGCGGCAGATTCCTGAGTTCAAGGTCAGTCTAGGATACAACATGGCTAGGCCCAGGTGTGGTAGAAATGGTAATTTCAGGGCAGGGTCCCACCCAACTAGCACTGTGCTTAACAAAGTTAGACTGATTTATGAAATCTTTTGCAATATTAAGAAAAAGTATATGCTTGCTGTCTCTTAAGAATCAAATGCTGATTCATTTAGATTACTAAAGGAAACCTGATGTAAATGACTGGATTGATATGTACAGTAAAAGACTGGATCCAGGTTCTGCAAGAGATTAACTACCCAGAGAAATTTTTAGGTTAAAAAGAGACAACTGCTAGGAGAACTGACAGACATAGAAAGAGGCATACACAGAGACAGAGACACACAGAGAGTTAGACACACAGACAGACACACACACACACACAAACACACACACACACACACACACATGCACATAAGGAAGCAGTGCATAGACAAAGAGATCTCTTAGAATAGCAACCAAAGAGAATACAGACAGAGAAACCTCCAGAGAGAATGTAGAACATAGAGAGAAGCAGACTGGAAAAGCTGTACATGGGTCATCAGCTTAGATCTACAATTTGATTCAAGTCCTTTTCTTCATGGATCCCAGACAAACCTTTCTCTCAGAATTCCTCTCCATGCTGAGGCTGGTCCTTGGCTATAGGACCCCAAAGGGCTGCTATGCCCTGGCTTAGACTTTCCATGTGCTGCTGTCTACTAAGTAACATTCTGAGGTTCCTCTAAGATCAAAACATCCTGACTAAGGGATGATACCCCAGGAAGGGAATTTACACTTGACATCCATTTGCCCCCAATTTGAGTTCCTGTTTTT